GCACAGAAACAGTACTATATAACATTTTAGACACATTCTAGACAGTTTATCAGCTAAAAAAAGTTAATTTTGGGGTAAGTTACTCTTTAAAGAACATAATTTGGTTCAATGCAAAGAGCAACCCATCTCCTGTCTAGGGCTGCAGCTAACGATTATTTTAGTAATCGATTAATCTATTGATTATTCTGACGATTAATCGAGTAATCGGATAATAAAAAAATTGTCATGTTCTGCAGTAATTATTTAAGCTTATTTTATGAGAAATACAATTATTTAATATTGTGAAGGGGTAACATACACCCGCTGATGACCCTGCTGTAATCAAAGTAAAATTACAATACCAGTTGTATTAATTAATGCATTTTAAACTCATTTTTTTTAATTTATGTATGTGAGTTTGAGGAGGCATCAATTAAAAGCACTCTGTCACTGAATCATTTTAACCATCACTGAAAAATCTAAACGCTGTAAATTTGTTGTTATAGATTGGAAAATTGAATGTCTTTTTTTTTTGGTTAGAAATTTAATAAGGAAAATGGTTAGTGTTGAGTTTTGTAGAGTTCACTTGTTAATTGTTACAAAACATTATTTTAAAATTGTTATTAGGTTGATGCAGGGCTCCCATTTAGGCAATAAAAGATTTAGTCTTGACTGCTTAGCTACAAACAAATATGACAGTAGTAATGAAGGTTAAAATCATAAAAAGCAGCAGCAAATAATTTAAAAAAATCCAACTATCTTCTGTACATACTTTTAAACTTGAAATATTTACTCCAAGTATCATTTAAACTAAGATAAAAGCATATCAACAAATAAACGCGTTTCAGCTCAAGCTGTCGATCTGTTGCTGTGCTTTTATTTTTATCTGACAAACTTACAGTAAGTCTTGTTTTTAAAAGGGACAATATCATGTAAAATCAACTTTTTGGAGTTTTATATCATGTTATAATGTTATTCTCTCATAAAATCATGCCCAAAGCCTTGCTTTGACTCATTCATGCATGTTTGAGAAATCCTGCAGCATTTTTAGGAAGCCATGCTGAGGAGCAAAATGATAGGTGGGGACCAGAAACGCCCCTGGTACGCGTCTTTAAGCCGTACTTCCTCATGGCAGAGCGCACCCCCTCCTTCCTCCCACACACCCCGCCCATAACTCCTGCAGGCTCTCGGGTGAAACTGAAACTTAACTGTCTGCTGAGCTCTCAACATTAGTTCTCACTCAGTGAAGCTCTTTTCAGATTAAAAATACCTTTGAAGAAATGTATTTTCAGATGCCAAGTAAACTGCATCATAGCGCACGCGCAACCCCGCCCCCCATGCACGCGCACGAGCCCCCCGCGTGTGAACCCCACATTCCCCACCGAACAGGACATAACAGAAGCAGAAGGTGGTTCTTAAAGAGACAGAGGCTAATTTCAAGGCGTTTAGAAGACGAAGAGATTAGAAGATGAGTTTATTTTCTATTTAAACATAAAAATGGCATTTTAATAACAACTAAATGTGAGATATATACTTTATTATGGTATAGTATTTAAATATATGCCTGAGAAACACACTAAATATTGGCCCTTTAATCACACAACTTACACACTGTTTAATAAAACCCTGCCAGGTCACCATGATTAGTCAGCACAAATAATGCTAGCCAAAATATTGTACATCTGTAACAGGACAGATTATCACAGATTTAGGTAACCAAAGTGAATGTAAACAAATACCTGTTGTTAACTCCAGATGCATTCGGTACATGCATCAGCTGTTTTTATTCCAGTTCAAAAACATCGAGGACATGCAGAGCATTGCTTGTTGTTGTCTTTTCTGTTTAGTTTTAAATGTTCCCATGCTTTTTATAATTTGTCGTTTTTTTGGGCGTTTCGTTCCGGCACTCTTCGTCTTCTTCTAAAGCTAAATATAGCACTTAGCAAGCATACACGCGTGACGCATCGACAGACCGAGGTCTTGTTTCTCGCCYGGCTGTTTATTGTGCGACACCGAGCATGCATTCGCGGATGATAAAAATGTGATCTCTGCGCGGTCCAGTCCAGTGGACATCTGCTTCGAGTCCGCATTGAGTCCGCYCGGACCTCCGCAGACCGAAGTAAGCCAGAGTATGTGGGGGCCTTAACTGTTAGCGGAAGCGCTAACATCATAGCATAATGTGTAACACAAATAATATTCCGGGCGGATGAAAGTGCGTTTATTATAACAGTATGTATTTTTTACGAAGCTTCGAGGCAAATGATTTTTTGTAATCGAATTACTCGAATTATTCGAAGAATCGTTTCAGCCCTACTTCTGTTCAAAGAAAAAAATTATAAAACATCCTACAATTAAATTCTCCCTAACATTTAACATCTCTTCATATATATACTTGTATTTTTTTCAGATTTGGATAGCTTGTGACTTACATTTAAAACTAGATGTATGAAATTCTCTGAAATCAGCTGAAAGCATATTACTCAACCACTCCAGAAAACGAGTCTATGATCTTTAAGACAAAGACAACAACTTTCCAGAGGGTTTTATGTCTGGCCCCGGTGTAATGAACTGTGTGTGAGGAGCACATGTGACTTACTAAGCTGCAGAGTCTTGAACTCGGGCAGTTTAGCTGACGCACAGAGCTGATAGAAGATGTGATAGTTTCTCTCCTCGTCCGCCTGGAATAAAACAGGAAGAATGAACGATCCTGACAGACTTGAAACTGGAAAATCTGGAACCAGCAACTCAGGAGAGCGGGCATACAAGAAATGAAATCTAACGTGTGATCCCAGTGTATTTTACAGATAAGCATCATGACACCTTGCAGTGTAAATGAGAATGAACAAACCAACTGACGCTGCACAGTAAGTAGAAGAGAAAACCAAACAAGTCAAAGAGACACACCTAAAAGTGTTTCAGAAGGCAGACATGCGAGAAATGCAACAAAGAAAGCCATGATTGTCTTTGCCAACATCCTCATTCTTGAGCAGTGCTCCCTATGGTAGCAAAATGTGTTCAGAAATACATGCAACTAAAACATGCAGAAATAAAATGATAAAATCTTTATGAACACATGTACAGATCCAAGCAGGACACTAAAAATATTAGTGTAACAAATTGATTGATAAAAGGTTSACCTATCTCCCCTTTCCCCCAGTAATCTTTATAAAACAGGAAATAACTGATCTTTCGGCACTAAAAGACATGAGGGTTAAATCCCTCTGTTTGTGTCTGATTCTCAGTATGTAATGTAACAAAGGTTTAAATGTGTTAAAGTWTGACGAGTCCTGATACGCCTCACCTGAAACACCACTCGTGATTTCTCCAGCAGATATGTTCTCATATTGGCTCCAATGATACGATATCGATTGTCAAAGCCGATCTCGATGTACTTTCCGAAACGACTACTGTTGTCATTTCGGGTGGTCTTWGCATTTCCAATGGCCTAAACGTAGGGGAAAAAACATGTTAATGTACACAACATATTGGTTCTAGCAGATAACTTCAAAAACTTTCAACTTTAAATCAACTCTGCACTAAACCAATGAGAGGTAACTTCTCTGTGGTCTCAYTCTGCTTATCAACAAGATCTTCCATAATTCAATCAAACAAATTAGTTTAGTTTAGTTAGTTTATTCACTTCATTTAAAACAAAACCAAAAATAAAAATTTATACACATTTACAACAAAAAAATACACAACATATATA